GGCTTTCCCTCGCTCTTGAGCTCCCATACGTGTTTTGCGAGCTCCGTGCTCTTGTTTGTATTTTTCTTGGCGCATGGAGCTCAGGTGGTTGGCGTGACGGGCTTTGAAAGGCGTCTCTGATAGACCGATGTAAATCTTGCTGATAGATTCTGCAGTGGCCTCATACACTATCTTCTTTGTCTGGCACTCTCCACGCAGCGGGCAGGACTCCTTGATTCTGCAGTTGCATGCCTTAGTTTGTTCTGGCTCTCGCAGGTTGTGGCTGCTGATCACCGCTCCCATGTTGAGCATGCAGCTGTAGTTAACCTTCAGTGTGTTACGGTTGAAAATCTTACCGAACTTGGATGTTTTCGGGAAGTGTCTGGAGACAAGGCTCAGGAACCTACCGGCGACGTTCGTGCTGACGTTCTTGGAGTAAGGGGGGTTGAACCAGATGACCTTCCGGCTGCGGTTCTTCCTGCCCCTCTGCTCGTGTGCCTCGGGCTGAAAGCTCAGCACTTCATTGTATCCACTGGCCTTTAATGCGGTCTGGTACACGGGGGCTGCATGGTTGAATGCCTCCGCGTCGCTTGACATAGTGGAAAGGCGCTTGTTGACAGCAGCAGGGACGGTTTTGGTGATCCCAGGCGGGTGGTTTGACTGCTTGCTGACGTAGAGCGGGTTGTCATTTGGCTTTCGGAAGGGTTGAAATTTCCCGGTGTCCAGATTCATCGTGACATCCTAGAAATCCACCACCAAGTTTGCTTCGATGGTTAATATCTTTTAATAATATAAATAATAATTAAAACTCGGATGTTGAGCCATATGGATACGAGTTAAGAGTAACTCTCCATCACTGTAACATGATACTATATACAGTCAGAAAGTGCAATACCTAGGCACAAAACTGACAGAGTACTGAAACATTCGACGTCCTGACACCTAGCTTCAACACATCTCCGTAGCGCTAACCGACAGCCTTCCAACTTGGAAGGTTCAAGGTTATGGAAAGACCAAAGAGGGGAAGGCAAGCGCAACGAAAACGAGCAAAAGCTACAGTCCCAACGGAACAAAGATTGTCGATTGTTACTGGACGATGACGAGACCAGTACGATATTTGACAAAGCGGTCTAACTACAATTCGAAGCAGCAAAGCTTCCCAACTTGGGTGGGTAATAAATATCAAAGATAAGTAAAGAAAGGGAAGCTTTGCGAAAACGAATTGTACAAGCCGAAAGCCAAACTACTACAGTACTCCTCATGCATGACATTGTGATGGACTAGTTGACTACAAAACAAGTGGTTTGTGGGGTGATCAAAACAAGTGGTTTCACACGACGTATCATGTTACAGTGATGGAGAGTTACTCTTAACTCGTATCCATATGTCCTTTACTCTTCTTCAATAATAATTAACGCAATAAATAGAGTAAGCTGCGCACTCAGTACAAACACCAATAGCAAAACTTGTTTCATGTAAAAGCTTGTTCCTTGAACGTTTTCGTGGCCATCTCATCAGAAGGATCACTGGCAAATCAAAATTAATTCTAAACTCAATATATATACGCACAATGCAAGTAATAATTTAGACCCTATCTGAGAGTTGAAAGAAAAATTACATCAATCAACGATATCAGGCTACAAACAGATGAGATAAATTCACCACTAGAAAGTAACCATGCAATCACAAACGAGAACTACTGATCTAAATTCACAAACAATTTCAATGTAAACGAATTCTTTTGCTGCCTACACAAGATCGGTTTGGTGGTAAAGATGTATATAGACTCCAATACACGCAAATACCTTTGACTAAGTGAACGAGACCAAACGGAAAAACAATTATCAGTATAACTAGAACGACAATCACTATTCTAAACAAGATGGCTAGCAACAGAAGATTCATACACCCTAACAACACTTCTAGAACCAGTACATACTTTGGAATTACGTGACAATGAAACCGACCTGTCAGTCCTTGCCGCTACTGCCCTTCCAGAAGAGGCTCATGTAGATATTAATACCGAAGACAAGTCCGATGATGGCACTACCCGCTGCGATGATGCTCCCTTTGACGTTCCGATGGCTGTTGATGTTGATGATGATGAGGAGGAGGATGAGGAGGAGATGAACGTCTGCTTCCGCCCCTACTTGTCGATGGTGTCCGTCCTGATGGTCCTGAGAGAGAGCTGTTGACATTCCCCGTCCGGTATGGTGGCCTTGCCATTCCCGTTCTGGCGGCTAGTGCACCTGCTGAATTTATTGCGTCAAGGGCAGTGACCAAGCCTCTGGTACAGCTGCTGCTGACCGGCGATTACACAAGCCCTCCTGACGTTTCCTGTGTCCCACAGATGGAAGCCCAGGAGGAAATCGCAGAGCCTGATGGAAATATTGGTGTTCTGGCGAATCCAGATCAATTAATCTTGACACATGATCCGGTTCGTGATGCAGTGGGCGATGCACGGCACATTGCAAGAACAACGCGTGCGGCCAGGATCGGGGATGTGTGTCGTCGCCAAGCCGATATCAAGCCATGCTTGACTGCCGAGCAGCAGTTTTTGGTAGAAGTCGCAAATGAGAAGGGTCTATCATCGTGGCTGACGGTGGCTCCCCTCTGGCAGCATGGAACAATTTTAAAGAAATCAGATTTCCGGGACGCTCTATGCATCCGGTATGGTCACAGATTGAGTGGACTGCCGGAGAAATGTGTGTGTGGAGTGGATCTCAGTCCCGCACACGCCCTCACTTGCGCTACTGGTGGGTACACAATCGCCAGGCACAACGAGGTGAGAGACCTTGTCGCCGGTCTCCTGAGAGAGGCAGGTGTTGTTGACGTCGAGACCGAGCCTAGATTATTGCCGTGCGGTGATGAGGATCTACCAGGAGGGCGTTCGCTCAGCAGAAGTACTGAGGCTCGTCTTGACGTGCGGGCTCGAGGCTTTTGGTCGTGGCAACAAGACGCTTTTTTTGATGTGCGGATTACCCATCCCGCAGCGTCCGTGTTGTCTCGATCAAAAGCCTTGAGTCAGCTGAAGTCCCATGAACGGGCAAAAAAGAATCAATATGCCAGCCGCGTTGTGAATGTCGAGCAAGGATCGTTCACCCCACTGGTGTTCTCGACTTATGGTTTCAGCGGCCCTGAGACACCTCAATTCCTAAAGTCTCTTGCCTCTCTCTTTGTAGAGAGAAACCAGGATCTCAAATATCCTGTTGTCATGGGTATGTTGCGTACCCGCCTGTCGTTTTGCCTCTTGAGGTGGGCCATTACGTGCTTTCGTGGTTGCCGAGGGTCTTATAACAGACGGCGGGTGAATTCCTTTGTGGCCCAGTGTCGTTTGGCCGCATAGTGAATTTTTATGCTATGCCTCTCAACAATATCACTATGGATAACATCACATTTTTTAAATAACTATTTGGTAAAGTAACATCATCTGTCATTCAATATCTATCTATCTGGTAAAATAATCAGCATTTGAATATCTACTTGGCTCTAATCATTCAACTGTTAAATGTCATATTTTTACCTGAATATCGATCACGATTTTTGCACATAATCTCGGTTATCACCGTTTCAAGCCCGTACAAGAGGCCGTTTCCAATGAGGAGGAGGATGACGACGACGATTACGACGACGACGGAGACGATAGTGACTCTGCCAACTTTGTACTAGAGCGAGTCACTGGTCACCTGCAGACACAACATCTGGCGGTTTCTTAGGTGGTCGGCCACGCTTTCTGCCACCAGAGGTGGACACAACCGATGACGGTAACGAGGAAGTCAATGAAGAAGCAACCGAAGATACCAACGATGCCGATGGGAAAGAGAGAAGAGGCGGTAAAGACGAAGGCAATGACGAACAATCCGATGACGACGAAGAAGACAACGGCAACCCAGTTGGTGCCGTCCCCAGCGAGGGTGCAATTCCAGTCTCAGTACCATTGTTTGGGGGACGTCCTCGTCTAGGTCTCGATGACCTTGCCTCAACAGGCATAACGTGAAGAGGCACATGTTGGTGGATCCCTGCCTCCAGGTGCTGAAGAATCCTACCGTTATACGGGCGATCGCATTGCCGGCACTCGAAGTTGTAAATGAGATGTGATAATTTAAGAGTGCGTAGGACATCCTTCAGTTTTTTTAACTGCATTGTCGGTATATATATGGAGTATAGAATTAATTTTCATTTGCCAGTAATTCTTCTGAAAAGATGGAGGAACAAGCGTTTACATGAAACAAGTTTTTGCTAATGGTGTTTGTACTGAGTGCGGAGCTTACTCTATTCATTGCGTTAATTACATTTTATATCCACGTATGCTTTATAAATAATAATAATAATAATAATCAACGCAATAAATAGAGTAAGCTGCGCACTCAGTAAAAACACCATTAGCAAAACTTGTTTTCATGTAAATATTCTAAGCTTGATCCTAAACGTTTTCGTCGCCATCTCATCAGAGGATTACTGGCAAATCAAAATTAGCTCTAAACTCAATATATATACGCACAATGCAAGTAATAATTTAGACCCTAACTAGCGCGAGAAAATGAGAGCTGAAAGAAACATTACATCAATCAACGATATCAAGTGACAACAGATGCGATAAATGCACCACTAGAAAGTAACCATTCACCACAAACGAGAACTACTGATCTAAATTCACAAAGAATTTCAACGTAAACAAATTCTTTTTCTGCCTACACAAAATCGGCTTGGTGGTAAAAATGTAGATAGACTCCAATACACGCAGATACCTTTCACTACGTGAACGAGACCAAACAGAAAAGCAATCATCAGTATACCTAGAACGACAATCACTATTCTGAACAAGATGGTTTGCAACAGAAGATTCATACACCCTAACACCACTACTAGAACCAGTACATACTTTGGAATTACGTGACAATGAAACCGACCTGACATTCCTTGCCGCTACTGCCAATCCAGACGAGGCCGATGATGTCAGTACCAAAGACACGTCCGTTACTGGCACTGCCTGCTGCGATGATGCTCCCTTTGGCGTTTCAATGGCCGTTGGTGTTGATGAAGAGGAGGAGGGAGATGAGGAAGATGCTGACGACGACGATGACGACAACGACGGAGACGATAAAGACTCTGCCAACCTCGCCCTAGAGCGAGTCACTGGTCCCACAGACACACCATCCAGTGGTTTTTTCGGTGGCCGGCCACGCTTTTTTCCACCGGAGATGGACACACCGGATGACGGTACCAAGGAAGTCAAAGAAGACGAAACCGCAGATACCAACGGTGATGATCGGACAGAAGGAAGAGACGGCAAAGACGAAGGCAATGACGAACAAGCCGATGCCGACGAAGAAGACAACGACACCAAGTCACAGAGGTACGTGTGGGAGTGTCATGCCTTGGGGCTAGACATGTCAAAGGCATTTGACACCATCAACAGAGCCAAGCTCCTGGATGTTATGAGCTCGTTCCTTGGCCGCGATGAAGTGCACATGATACAGCATCTTCTGTATGGCACCACCATATCTGTTCGTATGTGCAGCTCCACTTCCAAGGCATTCCATACCACCATCGGCACGCCCCAGGGGGACAGTCTAAGTCCCGTGCTGTTCGTCTGTTACCTTGAAGCCGCCCTGCAAGAATGTCGCCCAAGACTCTCACAGCGACCTATAACTGATGGAGGCATCCCTCCAGAAACCGGGTACGCTGATAACATAACGTTCTACTCTACCAGTAAACCTAGGCTCGAGGAATCACTACCCGTCATATCCTCGACACTGCAGTCTTGGAACCTAAACGTAAATGAGCCAAAAACGGAATGTGGGCACTTTACGTCAGGCGATTCATTCTGGCGGAGCGTCAGGCAGCTTGACTCTCTAATGGGAAGCGCTGAGGATATCGACAGGCGGATTTCGCTGGCATCCCAGGCATACGGCAGTATGTGCAGCCTCTGGCTGCGGCGCAAGCATGTGTCAGAGAGGTCCAGGCTCAAGCTGTACAGCTCGCTGGTGCTGCCTGTCCTCCTTTACAACTGTGAGACTTGGGGAGTACCCCAGGCAGTCTTTCAGCGACTGGACTGTTTTCACCGCCGACAGCTCAGAAACCTGGTGGGATTGCTATATCCAGACAGAATTACGAATGGTGATCTGTATTCCAGATGTGGCTCGCAGCCACTGTCGGAGCTTGTTGCCAAGCAACGCCGTAGCCTCACTGGCCATGTGCTTAGGATGAGTGAGCAGTCACCGCCTTGCCTTGCGATGTCCTCCTATTTTTAAGCGGGGTCACGTGGACGAAGGGGCCGTCGCGCGGCTACTCTCCCTACCATCATCATGAAGGACCTGGCAGGGCACGACATCCCTTTGAAGAATGCCAGCGACCTAGAAGGAGCACGAGCATTTGCTGCAGACAATTCGAAATGGAGATCAGACATTGTTTATGGATGAATGTTTTGTTGACAGGAGACAGAAGCGGATTTGGCTTAATTTCAGTGTATTCTCATGTATTGTTCTTTGGCCTTTGTACGCGTGCTGTGGTATTATTATTATTATTATGAGAAACGCGAAAACATGCTAGGATGAAGAAAACTGGCTTGAGCATCAAGAAACATTACTCTCGTCTCCACTGAAAGCTCATACTCCTTTTGAGCGCAATTTCAGGTTTTGCACATATGACATTCCTGCTCCAACCAATACCCTACGACATTATTCAGAATCTAAAATAGTATCTGAGAGAAAGAAAGAACGTCTGACTTGCAGCCCTAGGAATGACAACACCATTCAAAGGTTAGATTCAGTAACTCCAAACAGTTTTTGTTGCGGATTTTCAAATGGCACCGCTGGGTCTTCTCAGGTTAAATTGTAAGTATACATCACCTCCATTCTGCCTCGTTTTCAATCATAGTAACAATTGGATACGGGCGATAATCACGATAAGTTAAATCCATGCATACTTTAGTGTTCAACTAAATTTTTTATAAACTCGGTATGGGTATTGCCGGTTTGCATACGGCATGGTGTGCATTTCTTCTAAAGCCAAAACAAACATTATATTTCTGCACAAAACGCACACGTTAAAAATGACAAGACAACACATAAGATTTATGGCGAGTAAGCCATCGAACAAGGACATTATGAATGAGGTCATCAGAAGGAAAATTGCATGAGCAATTGACACTCAAATCGTAATTTGCACATACTGATATCGATGCGTGAGACGAGTCAGTTCGTACCTTTAAGCCTGTTCATACGTAAATATTGAAATTGTTGTTTTAACTGTTTTTTATTGTATTCAAAAACGAAAACTTGTGTACCATAGCGGAACATCCGAACCATTAAGATTGGCTTCGAACTTGAATCTACAGTCACCATATGTGTGTTCTTCAACGATCCATCATAAGAATAGTGATCCACATTATACTTAACCAGCGTGTGAGGACAGCGTGTTACGTGTATATAGTCCCTAGCGACTAAATTACAAATAGGAGAAAGTGAGGAGTGGGATTTATTGGAGGACGCAAGAACAAGCTTCACTTCCTGACTAGTCTTTTCACATTCCCATCTAAATCCGATGTCTAGCTCACTGGAATGTCCAACTCTGAATAGTACTCCAAAGTCATTTTCCTGTATTGGGCTATTGGCTCGTATCGTAGCAACTCCGGACTGTACTTGGTTCAAAGCTAGGCCCGCAAAACGCTGTGAACCCTTAGATATAATTCCTGTTACCTGTATGTATTCTCTGGGAGAACAGGAAAGTGGGTGAAAGACCACGGCCCTGGATTTTAACACAAAAAGCCAAGTTTGTAAGGGCTCAATTATGTCAATACCATTGGCCAACGATCTCCATTTACGTTCTGGTAAGGGACAAGGTGTATCCAGCAACAGTTCTAAGAGAAATACAGCTGGCTGACTACACTTATTCTGGAAAAGTGCGTTAACTTGACCTGAGTTATAACCAATTATCGGCACATGCACTGTGGCTATCCGAGAGAAATCACCTTCAATTCGAATTGCCCAGATTTGAATGCTGCTGACCTTCAATGCTCGCTCAGACACAAGTTGGCCTCGCCAGTCTCTAACGAGAACAGAAAGAGGTAGTGCTTCACCTGCAATTCCGTAGTAATGGACCTGGCTAGTAAATGAACAACTCGCCAAATCGATTCCAGTATTATCCACGATTTTACCCATCACGCCGAAGTGTCCTTTCAATTCGGGAAGATTCTGGCACGTGAATGTCGACCTCCATAATAGCGAACGTCGTTCTGCCTCAATGGTACTCGAATATGCTGTAAGGAGTTCATCCAAATTTTGCATTTTAAGGAGGTCTTCACTTCTTAGAGCATGACTGCGTCCAGCAAGTATGCGCTGGAAGGCACTGGCCACATTGTCCCGCTTACGGTAATAATCTTGGCGTTCGACTAGCTCCTTGTGTCGCAATTCTCCTTCGCTAATTAGCTTCAACTTTCTCTTGTTCACTTCTAGAAGCAGCTCTTCGCACTTTTCGCGTATCTTCGTCTTGATATTGGACACTCGACCTACTAGGTCATATTCAAAAGCTTCGAGGTGATAACTGGCGTGATCCAGACTTGCGTCCACTTCCTTTACTTTGTCATCAGGGACGAGATGGCGGAGTCGCTCAGTCAGTCTCTGTCTCAGCGCTGCTGCAGTTTCCGTTGCGTCGCTGATCTCACCAGTATGTGATGCGTGCTTGCTTTCGACCTTGCAATTCTCACACAAAGCCGCGCGACATTGGGTGCAGTAATATCGCATCTCCATCTTGGTGTGAAAAGGACAAAACTGCATTCGCCCCTGATATTTCTCCTTCAGGAAACATTGGTATTCCGTCATGGTCGACAGGACGGCATGGAAGCTCTTTGAATCAGGCTGGACACAAACAGGGTTCATATTTTCATCGTCCACAATTTGGAGATTAAGATCCTTCGCGACCGCCTTCACAGTTCCATCCGGATTATTTGCGACATTGTCGAACATGGAGTCATCAACTAACATCTGTTTGTGACTGCGACCAGGAGGTGGACATGGCGTAGGACGTCGACACTTCGCACAGCGTATCCTGCCATCTTCTTGAACGCTTGCTGGGAGACAGTCATTGCACACCTTGTGAAGACACTTGAGAAGCTTGCCTGCTCTCTCCACCCCATCTTCGCAGAACACACACGGTGGTCGCATCTTGCAAACACAAAAGACTAAAATTTGAAACGGACGGATAAGCGACACTTATGCCAAGTACGCCATGAAGGGAAACAAAGCACAACTGAGCTCAACAACACAATATCTTGGAAATGTCTTTGGGTGCAACTAACTTTATTGGAAAGTGAAGAACTAACTGCGTGATAGACATTTCTAGCGCGTCAAGGGCGTTACTGGTTACGTTAATGTATAATTGAATGAATTATCTAACCTTAGTTACCAGCAGCATTGGGCATCACGCTCCTCGGCTTTCGCCTTGTTGAGCACTCTCAGTAGGCTGCTCTAGTGCTGCTGCATCGCGCAATTCCCGCTACTTTTTGTAGTTTGAGCACTCTGGCGCTAGAGCGACGAGCTATCCTAATGTCTGTGGTGCGTCCTTTGCACCATGGCTGGTAGCTCGGCCTATTTAGCTCGTAGCTGTACTGATGAGGCCTTAATGGCCGAAACAGCTTGCTGTCTACAGCATTGGGTAACCATAGTTACCTATAGAAATGTCACATACCGAAGGAAGGGAATGCCATTGAATGTCACTACGAAGGTGGACCTTTGGGTGCAAACTTTACTCCGTTGATGTTTGCATTGTACATGCATGCTACGTTCGTGTGATGATAGTGACCCATGTGACCTGCTGATGCTCATGTCAGTGAAACCTAACACTGATGGACATGGACATCTCACCTGTATGTTTAAGTCTTTTTCAGATCATTATAGCCAACACAACCAGCTGTTTCAGTGTAATTACTCCCCCCCCCCATGGCCTATGGTAGAAGATTGTGTACTAAGTATATACAATCAGATATACAATCAGTGCTAGACATTTCTTCGTTTAGGGCAATCTTTTATTATTGCGTCAAATTCCACTCAAATTCTTGTGTTAATCGACAAAATCATGATCTTATCACCACAGTTAACCAGATCAACTCGGTAAGGTTAAAGCCGGGTTGCATAAATCAAGGTGGCGATTTCAGCGAAAAACAACACGCACACCGTACTAATCCACAAAACAAGAAAACATTATAATGGCAAGGCAGGACAACAAATATTAATGATAATTGATTCATTAAATGAAGAAATTATCTATGAGGTGATCAGAAGGTAAAAGGCTTGACTATTGACTGTCTTATAAATTGCCCTAACGGATAACGTTATCAGTCCGTGAGACGGGTCAGGGTGCGCCTTATTTTGATCAGATCTTGAAATCTTTGGTTTCATCGTTTTTTATCATACTCGTAAATAACAATGTGTGTACCGTAGCAGAACTTCCGCAACATTAACATTGGCCTCGCATTTGAATCTTAAGTCACGTTATGCTTGTTTTTCCACAATTCAATTTCAGAATAAGCAGAAACCTCATCCGGACGAGAATACCTTCGTCTCTATCACACGAAGATGGAAATTGCGATTATTACTGTACTCAATGTCGGTAGTTTTGTGTGAAAAGTGTAAGTTCGACATCAAACACGCCACACATATTGATCAGATCAGCCATGTCCATAAAGCAGCCACAGCACTAAGGCACAGACTGAACGATCGGTTCCGCAGCATCTGTAATCTGTATGCAGTGAATTGTGCGATGGGGGAGGGGGGGGGGTGTAGCACCCTTTTTGTGATGGTCTTGCCGATGTTATTCATGTGCTACCCATACCCTGTCCTCCAGGTAGCCACTGAATCCCATTTCATTGTTGAACTACCAAATGCACGCTCCCCACTGGAGTACCTGCATAGCAGCCTCCTCAGCATACCATGTCTGTGCATCATCTCTCCTTCTTCCTTTGCTGTGGGTATGTAGTGCCTGTTTTCACGCTGCTATGTTGCCACTTGGGGTTATGCAGCCGTTTGTTTCTCCCGTTTATGCGTCCGTCTTCAGCTGACACGGTCCAGAGAAATTAATCTGATGGTGGCAAGTTATGTTTGTCCCGGCCTATTTCTGTTACTGAAGCGTAGCCATTCTTCACATATAGGGCTCTGTCTCCTGTTGTTGCTTGAAGTTTTCTTCTGCAATACAGTTCGAATTTTGCTGTACTACTATCTCTCATCTGGCTGCGGCAAACTTCCCTTCAATTTGTGCG